GATTGCTGTTCCATCAGAGACGCTCCCAGGCAATCTATCTCCATCCAAGGCCCTGGCCTGCCCGGCTCCCTCTAATCCTGTTATCTAAGGAGCTCATTCTCTAATGTACACACTGCATAGAAGACATCCTCTTTCCTCCTAACCCAATTGGGTGTCCCAGAGGATTCCAGTAGTGAATACAGAAATGAAGGCTTGGGGCCCATGAGACAGGTCTCCAGGCTCTGTCACCACATTTAAAATTTTTCAGTGTTGGAGTTTGAACCTAGAGCTTTACACATGCTAGTCAAGCTTCTACTGGGCTGTATTCTTGTTCATAGTCTTATTTTTACTTAAAAGTTTTTAAAAATTTCATAGTTTGGAGGGGTTTTCTTTTTGACATGATCTCAGGTAGTCTCATGACATGATGAGGTAGCCTCAGACTCTCATGTAGCTTGGTCTGGCCTTGAACTCTTGATCCTCTTGCCTCTACATCTCTGAAACTGTGATTACAGGCATACACTACCACATCTGGCTATTTATTTTTTAGAGGATTTATTTATTTATTTATTTTTATTTTCTATGTATGAATCTTTTGCTGCACGTATGTAGTAATATACTACATATGGGCACCGCCTGAGGAACCAGAAGAGAACATTGGATTTTCTGGAACTGAAGTTAAGGGATGATTGTTAGCTATCATGTGGCTGCTAGGAATTGGACCCAGGTCCTCTGCAAAAGCAGCCAGTGCTCTTAACACTGAGCTGTTTCTTCAGGCACCCTCCCCCAAGTATAATGAGACAGGGTCTCATTAAGTTGTTCAGGCTGGCCTTAAACTGCTAGTAAGTTTTGTTTCTTTGGGCCTTATGTATCACAGGTTAGTCTTGAACTCACCCTGTAGTCAAGGGTGACCTTGAACTTCTGTTTCTGTCTCCACCTCTCAAGTGCTGGAATTGCAGGCATTTACCCTCAAGTCTGGTTGTATACAGTGCTAGGGAATGAACCCAGGGCTTCATGCATAATAGACAAGCACATTACCAGCTGAGCTACAGTCCCAGCTAGGCCTGGAACTTTTGATCTTCTTACCTCAGCCTCTCTCTCAAGTAGCTCAGATTACAGGTGTGCACCATCATGGCCTCCTTTTCCTGCCTGACATACACGGCCAGTGCCCCACTCCTCTCTCTCTCTCTCTCTCTCTCTCTCTCTCTCTCCTCTCCTCTCCTCCCTCTTTGCTGTGCCCTTTTTAGTCTCCATCCTATCTTCCCTTCTTGAGTCTTGCTTTTCTTCTTTTTCTTTTTACATTTAAAATTTTTATTTTTATTTTATGTGCATGGATGTTTTACCTGCATGTATGTAAGTGCGCCGTGTGTGTACAATGCCAACAGAGGCCAGAAGGGGGTGTTGGATCACCTGGAGCTGGAGTATAGAGCGTTGTTAGTCACTGTATGGGGCTGGGAACCAGATCTAGGTCCTCTGTAAGAACAGCCAGAGCTCTTGACTGCTGAGCCATCTCTCCAGCCCTTCCTTTTATATCTTCATCTCTCTCTTCATCTGCAGATTCCCCAACCCCTTTATATTGCTTATCTTTCTGTTTCTTCTTCCTTTTTGTCCTGCTATGGTGCAGCCCCTTTCAAAACAAGGTGGTTCTTGATGCTTCCTTCTGATTCTCTGCCTCCGAATGGCTGGCTGGGCTTGGATATACACCAAGGCCCAGCAGTGGAGCATCTGGGAGTAGTGAGCTGGGGGAGCAGTTGTCCGATCCTTAATGATAAAATGGCTGCAGTGGTAAACCCAAGTGCATGCATGCATATGCACGCATGTGTATGTGTGTGTGTGTGTGTGTGTGTGTGTGTGTGTGTCTGTCTGTCTGTCTGTCTGTCTTTTGCCTGCTGAAAGTCCAACTCTGGCTTATCACCACATGAAGAAACCCCTTCAGTGAGTGACAGATCACTTCTGCAGACCTCACAAAGCATGTAGCAAGAGAAGAGACTGCAGTTATCTGAAGTGCTTTTCTAAGTGGCAAAGGCCCTAACTCAAGTACATAGGAACCTAGGAGACTTTGCTGGCCTCCAGGGTGTGCATGTGTTCCTGGAGCTTGGGCCCTTTCTGGACCTTAGACTGGAGGCCCAGGAGGCAGCCTGACTCCTTCCACCTTGCCTTGCCTTTCTGTGAACCATGGAGCCTGAGCACACTCTTTCTGGGGATGTCTGGGGTGTCTCCACACACCCTCTGCAAGTCCCCTATTTAATCACATATCGTTTTCAACCACTTGTTTTCACCTCTGATCTCTCAAGAGAAATCTTTGAGCTGATTTCTCTTATATTTCCGTAATATAAATGTAATGGTAAAGCATGTGAATTTACCAAAGAGTACCTGGAGCATTGTAGTGAGCTTGTTGGAACCTTCCAGAGCCAAGCCCTGCCTGAGAGCCCTAAGAAAGGACTCCTCCAAGGAATGGCCCAGTGCAGAGTGCAGAGCTCACAGTGCAGTTAAAAAAGGAGGGGACTCAGCCAAGACTTGTGTTTGCTTGTTTTAAGTTACCTATAATTTAGGGACTGGGGACATAGCTCAGCTGGTAGAGTGTTTGCACAGCATGCACAAAGCCTTGGGTTTGATCCTCAGCATCACATAAACCAGGCGTGGTGGCACATGCCTATAATCCCAGCACATGGAAAGTAAAAACAGGAGGATCAGGAGTTCAAGGCCAGCTTCAGTTTCAGCTACATGAGACCTGTCTCAAAAAAAAAAAAAAATCCCCTACAATTCAGAAATTGTAGAGGTTTCCTATCTATAACTTATTCTGCAAAAGGAATTAGAAAGATTGAAAGTGATTTGCTGTTGAAGTTTGCCATGATGGATCCAGGAGAACCTTGTCTTCAGTTCAAATGAGGCACGCAGTCTGTACTTACATGACAAGTTGAGGGGAGACTGCTTCAAACTCAGTTGCACACAGTCTTTTGCTCAGATTTTTGGGGCACACCGTTGGGTGTCTGAGAGACAAATACCCATTTAACTCACAAAAAGAAAAGAAACACTTCTTTCAAGAAAGCTGCATTTTGGGGCTGGAGAGATGGCTCAGAAGTTAAGAGCACTGGCTACTCTTGCAGAGGACCCCAGTTTGATTCCCAGCACATGGCAGCAAACAACCATCCCTAACTCCCTCTCTGACCCCTGTGGACATTGCATGGCACTGGTGTACTTACACACATGCAAGCAATTCACTTGTACACACAACATAAAAATAATAAAATGTTAAAAAAGAAAGCTGCATTTAAAAGAAAGTATTGGAATGCTCGTGAAAAGATATTAGGTTTAAAAAAGGGGAGAAGGCTATAGAATTATATATAGTATATTTGCTTAATTGCACACATTATGGCGGGAGATCACAGAACATACACCAAAAGACTAACAGTGACTGTCTCTGGGACAGTCAGCCTGCGTGTGTTTCTTCATAATTTTCTATAATGAACACTACTTGTATTTGTTATGTCTAGCAAAAACAAAAAAAATGCATATAGCATTAAAAATGATTTTTACAGGGCTAGAGAGATGGCTCAGTCATTAAGAGCACGTATTGCTCAGTTCCCAGCTCCCATGTCAGGCAGCTCATAGCACCTGTAACTCCAGGTCCAGGGGATCAACTCCCTTTTCTGTGCTCCTTGGACACTTGCATTCACTGTGCACATACTCGCACATGTACACACAATAAAAACTAGAATAAATCTTTTTTTTTATGTGTATGAGTGTATTGCCTGTATGTATATAAATGTACCCATGTCATGCAATGCCCGTGGAGGTCAGGAAAGGGCACTGGATTCCCTGGAACAGTAGTTTTGGACAGTTGTTAGTCATCATGTGGGTGCTGGGAATTGAACCTGGGTCCTCTGCAAGAGCAACCAGCGCTCTTAACCACTGAGCCATCTCTCCAGCCCCCGAAATCTTTAGAAAGTATGTTACTTTTTTTTTTTAACTTTTGTGTGTGTGGCAGGATCTCATGAAGGTGGAAGCCTGTAGAAGCAGGAGAATCACAAGGACAGCCTGGGCTACACAGTAAGATCCTGGGGATGGGGAAAGATTGACTCTCCCAGCTGGCCAGCTGGCCTCAAGCCTCACCCTCTGGAGGTGGCCTAGAACCTCTTCTGATTCTTCTGCCTCTAACTCCCAAGTGCTGGGATTACAGGTGAGCACTACTACATCTGGTTTAAAGCAATTTTTTCTGTGCAGTACTAGGACTTGAACCCAGGCCTTGTGCATGCTAGGCAAGTACTGTACCACTGAGTCATACACATCCTCCAGGTTTTAATAAGAATTTAAGCACAAAAAGCCATACATTTAATAACATTTACTAAAGCTCAGGGGATCAGGCAAAGATTTATAAAACGTACTTAATTTTCCTTGATACTCTATGACACATGCCTTGAAGCAATCCTAGCCCATGAGAGGTAAAGGCTGGAGGGTCAGGAATTCAAGGCTATTCTCAGCTCCATAGTGAGCTGGAGGACAGCCTGGGCTACTTGAGACCCTGTCTTAAACACCACTCTCCTAAAATTTTAATTGGATGAGGACAAGGGAAGAGACCATAGTGACCCCTGAGACCCCCTCCGTCTGCAGAAGTACCCAGTCATCTGCTCTGCTGGGACATATGCCACCCTGGGGGAACCGAAGAATGACTCTTCTGCTTGAGCCATCCCCCCTCCCCCCGACCTTCCCAGTGCCAGAAATGTGCCTAAAGACCCAAGTGACAGTCTCAGCTCGGAGCACCAACCAGCTATCTGCACCTTTGTTCCATAGATCTTGCAGACCCCATCCCCAAGTCATTTTGAAGGGGGGGAGACTTGGCCAAGCCACCTAGTTGAATGAGTGGCTGAGCTCCCTCTCCTGACATCAGCTAATAGCTCCCCTCCCTTTCCTCCCGCCCTGAAACCTGATCCAGCTGAAGGGATGCTTGCTGGAAAACTTGGCGACTCCCCAACTCTGGTGGCCTGGGAGCGCCAGGCTGCAGCCTCAGAAGGTGCAGACAGCAATTCTAGAAGACAGCCACCTAGGACATGAGGCTAGCAGAGGGTGTGCAGGTTGGCCATCAGGAAGACTTGCTTTGAGCGGCTGTTCTGTGGCCCTCCCACGAGTGGGAAGCTTACCATGCTGCTGTGGGTCCTGCAGGCACTGCTGGCCTTGTTCCTCCCCATGCTCCTGGCCCAGGGAGAAGGTAAGGGGTTTGCCGGGATTGGAGGGACAGCAAGCTGGGGTCAGGGAAGGTCTCAGTTCTCAAAGGGATGAGGGAAAGAGAGGCTGGAGGCTGCAGGAAGGTCAGCAACCTTCCCACAGATGAGTATGAGTGCATTCTGAGGTATGGGGTAATGTTACATGGCATGGGAAACTGAGCCCAAGGTGAGTCCTCTGCTGAAAAGGGAGCAGAATAGTTGTGTGTTCACAAGAAATACATAGGTAGATACCAGAAAGGGATCCTTCTCCCTTTGCTTTGCCCTTAAACTCATCAAACAGCAGCTGCAAGGGACCTTAGAGTTCATCTGGTTTGCTTTGCCCTCTTATAACCACAGTCCAGAGGGGGACTAATTCACTCAGGGTCACACAGCTTGTCAGAAGCCAAGTGGAGATCAGGACGACTTTAATAACTCTTTCTTGTCTTTGCTGGTTTTGTTGCATGGGTCTTGTGGGTCTTCTTTCCTCCACTTCCCTCCAGGGACGTCAAACTACTCTGTCCTTTCTATCCAGTTCTCTCCCGACTGCCTCAAAGGTGTTCAGCCACGAGGGACCTAGTTCCTTCTGTTGCATATCTCATTCGACCCCACAGAAAGGATCCTCCAACACAGCTGAGGAGAAATACCTTGGGATATAGCAAGAAGGGTGCCACCGAGGGGTGGGACAGATGTGAAGGGCCAAGTGCTCTTCCCTGCAAGCTGTTCTGGTGAAAGCAGGGTGGATAAAGCAGACCCGAGTTGTATGTGGTGAATATAGCAAGAAGGGTGCCACCGAGGGGTGGGACAGATGTGAAGGGCCAAGTTGCTCTTCCCTGCAAGCTGTTCTGGTGAAAGCAGGGTGGATGAAGCAGACCCGAGTTGTATGTGGTGCCTGGTCAGGCTTCCTTGGCTGAGTCGTACTGTCCTCCCAGCCATGGCCTTGTTCTGAGGCCCTACAACATCAGTCTGGTTCTCCCTAAGCCTGTCAGCGTCCCAAGCAGTGGTATAGAATCTGGGTTTGAATCTCAGTTCCTCCACACAATATTGACCCTCCTGAGCTTTGAGGGTTCTTGACAGTAAAATGGATTGCCATGCAAACCACTTTGGCCGCTGTTCTGAGGTTAAAATGAAGACTTGGTGTGGATATTATTCCAAAGAAGGCTCTCAGAAAAAAAAAAAATAGATTTTGAGGCTGATCATGTAGCTTCATTGCTTGCCTAGCATGCATGCACAAAGCCTTGGGTTCAGTCCCCAGCACTGCTGCATAAACCAGGAGTGATGGTATATGCCTATAATACTGGCATGGGGAGGTAGAGGCAAGAGGATCAGGAGTTCAAGGTCATCCTTGGCTACACGGCAAGTTCTAGGCCAGCCTGGTCTACAGGGTCTGAAATGCAAACAAAAAACCAGTCTCTTGTCTTCTATCTCTTCCTGCTTGTCTCTGTCCTAGGGAGGAGGGAAACTTAGGGGGCAGGTCGATGACATACCAGAGAGGAACTTGCAAGACCACCTTGTTGTCTGGTGACACACATGAGAGTAGGCTGTAAGGATGCAGTGCTATTTAGTGGAAGCCAGCCTTGCTAGCTTCCGATCTGCAAAGAGCTGGTTCACCCTGCAATCTTACCTTCTCCTTGCTGCCTAGCCTCTGGCCCCGCCCCTCTCTATGCATGTTCATTTTCCTATTTCTTTTTTTTTTTTAAAGGAAAATATGGAATGCTTTGTGAATTTGCGTGTCATCCTTGGGCAGCGGCCAAGCTAATCTTCTCTGTATTGCTTTAATTTTATGTACTGAGGAAGTAAGCACAGCTTTTACACATCATTCCTGCTTCCTAGAGGGAAACTGAGGATTCAGAGAAATCACCAGAATAGGACAGGGTTCCTATTTCTTTTTTTTTTTTAAAGGAAAATATGGAATGCTTTGTGAATTTGCGTGTCATCCTTGGGCAGCGGCCAAGCTAATCTTCTCTGTATTGCTTTAATTTTATGTACTGAGGAAGTAAGCACAGCTTTTACACATCATTCCTGCTTCCTAGAGGGAAACTGAGGATTCAGAGAAATCACCAGAATAGGACAGGGCATCTATGTTGGGCCTTTTTTCCTCCCTCCCTCCCTCCCTCCCTCCCTCCCTCCCTTCCTTTTTCTTTTCATTCTAAGACAAAATCTTGTCAAGCTGCCCAGGCTAGACTTGAACTGCCAGGTGCAAACACTCCTCCTTCTCTGATTCCAGGACAGTTGGGGCTGCAGGCTTTAATTTCTTTACTTGAACAAACTCTGAAATAGATACACAGTTAGTGCTGCCTGAAATCTGTCCCTTGACCCTAATATCAGGTTGCTAATGCCCCTCCTCCATATAGCAGCTGCCAGCAAGGCAGGCATAAAATTGTGCCTTTCCTAGAACCTAATTGAAGAGACAACTTACCTTGAGAAAGAGCAAGTCTCAACTTTCTTTTGATGCTGTATCTGAAACCCATTATATCCTATACAAGTGATACCCACACCAGGGCCTGGGGCTCTCACAGCCCCATGTAACTCAGAGCGTGATGGAGGAAAGCATTGTGTGGGGACACAGTCATTCAGCTAACATTATTAGATGTCACTTGTGCCCTGGGAGCACAGCAATGAGCACCCTCACATAGGTGTCAGGGTAACCAGAGGAGGCCCAACAACCACAAAACCACAACATAGTTTCAGATTGCTGTAAAGACTATCAAAGGAAGGCTTTCCCTCCTTTCTTTCCCTTCCTTCCTTTCTTTTTTTTGTTTTTAATTACATTTTAATTATTACCTGTGTATGTGCTTATGCATGTCTCACAGCATTTGTGTGGAGGTCGGAGGACAACTTGCAGGAATCACTTGCAGATGACCAGGGAATAGAACTCAGGTCGTCAGGGCTGGTGGCAAGCAACCTGATGAGCCATCTTATCTGCCCATCAGCTTATCTGCCATGGGCTTTCTCGTCACTTCTTTGTGTCTGAAGCATCCTGACTTGGGAGCGGTTTGGCTCCTCTTTGCCCCCTCTGTATCTCACCCCTACTTCTTTCCTAACCCTGTCGTGTTTATACATCTCGCCACCCTACAAAAAGAAGCCCGTAAACCCTTCCCATAGCACACAGGGCCTTGGCAGGAAGGAGAGGAAATGTACCTTTTGATGGGATGCCCACCTTCCTCGGCTACTTGCAAGCTGGGATGGAGAAAGAGACAGTCTCATATGTGCTGAGATCTGCTTTCAGTTGAGAAAACCCTTGTGTAGACAGTGGCCCATGCACTTGGGCCTGTGTGGTGACACAGATTTCTCATCCTGACACTTGGGAGGTGGAGGCAAAAAGACCAGGAGTTCAAGGCCAGCTAGGAAATATAATGAGTTCAAAGCCAACCTGGGTTACATGAGACCTTGTTTCAAGACAACAGAAAACAAAATAAGACAAGAGCCTGTGCACTCGAGGCCACACTTTCCCATGGCTCTCTTACCGGTCAGCACCGCACACCCCCAACTCACTTTCCTCTGGTTGTTCGGACTTCGATCCCTGGGCCTTTCTTGACCCTGGTGTATCTCCTGTCACCAGCTCCGATATGCTAGCTTTTAGCTCTCCTGTCTATAGCTACTTACAATGCTTATATCCACTGTAACTTTGGTAGGAATCTCTCCAGACAAAATGCTATGGTGATGGGAATTCTCATCATGGAAGGATCTAGGAATTTTCTGAAGTTGGAATGTATTTTTAAAAAATTATTACATTTTTATTTGTGTGTGTGCACATGTGTTTGTGTATGATGGCATGCATATGGTGGTCAATGGACAATTGTGGGAGTCAGTTCTTTCCTTCTGTCATGTGGGTCCAGGGAATTGAATTCAAGCTGTCAGTCTCGGCAGCAAGCATCTACACCAACTGAACCATCTTGCCAGTCTTGGTATATATTTCTTTAATAGCTTCTAAACCAGGGTAAGGGAACCAGAGGGAGACCCAGGGCTCTTGCTGCTACCATGAACTGTTGTCCTTCCCAGCCAGGTGGAGGGGTACCCCTCAAGCCCACAACACTACCCAGCCTGCTCTGCTCAGACTGTCAGATCACCTGCTTACCCACTACAGGAAGGGGGTGCGGCCTGTGAGGGACTGGAGGCAGCCCACCACCATCTTCATCGATGTCATCATGTATGCCATCCTCAGTGTGGTGAGCTCAGCCCCTAACTCCCCTCAACCTTTTGTGGGATGGGAGAGGTCATGTCAAGTCACCCCTTGAGTAACATAGTGGGCATCTAGAACTCTAGTATCTACGGTCTGGCACTATGACTGGGGACTGAAGCAACATCTATGTATGTAGCTGCCCAAACCATAAACCTGGGCTACCTATGTGCACCCCTGGTGAGGTCACTTCCTACGTGTGCCTGTACAGTCCATAGGGACTGTGTCTGTACAGTCCATGGTGGAAACTGTCTCCCCATGTTATTTCTGCACCCTTAGTCCTTTACACAGTTCCCTATGTAACAGGTGTCACTAAATGGTGACCGTAGATAACTGTCAACTAATAGATCAATTAACTAATCAGTGGATGTGGGCCTGGCAGAGGAGGCCAGACATTGCTCAGGGATAAACAAGAAGGCAATTGCAGGGCTGCAGGTTATCTGCATTTCAATAGGGAGGCAGTACTTGACTTCACAGGGCTGCTGCAGTAAGTGTGCCCATCCTGATGCAGAAGGAAATCTTGACATCTAGAACATCTCTGAAAAGAAGCACACACACACACACACACACACACACACACACACACACACACGCAAACACATTATTGCTCTGCTTCTGAAAGGGAAACTTGGAATTGGTTGGGGGCTGGGAGGAGGAGAGTAATGAGTTTTTGACTTGGTTTTGTGTCTCATCATTTTGTAATATGGCAGAACAGAAAGTGTTATATAACAGAATACATCTAAATATGATAGACAATAACAGGAAGCATGCATAGTTTACATCTATCTATCATCTATCTATCTATCTATCTATCTATCTATCTATCTATCTATCTATCTATCTATCTATCTATCTATCTATCTATCTATCTATCTATCTATCTATCTATCTATCTATCTATCTATCTATCTATCTATCTATCTATCTATCTATCTATCTATCTATCTATCTATCTATCTATCTATCTATCTATCTATCTATCTATCTATCTATCTATCTATCTATCTATCTATCTATCTATCTATCTATCTATCTATCTATCTATCTATCTATCTATCTATCTATCTATCTATCTATCTATCTATCTATCTATCTATCTATCTATATTCTATTTTTTCAAGGCAGGCTTTTGCTATATATTCCAGGCTGACCTTGAACTTGCAGCAATCTTCCTGCTTCAGCCTCCTGAGTAATGGAATTATAGACATGCACAACTACACCCAGCTTTCTATATATCTCTAAAGGTGAAAAGAAGCGGGTACATTTCTTTCTAGTTGTGTCCCTGTAAACTGGCCAGCAGCTCCAGTTTATCCCCTTCTCCCAGTCCTCCTTCTCCCTCTGCTTTTCCCACAGAGGAGGTGCTTGGTGTACACCAGCTTCCTTTTGGGCGGCACATACTGGGCTATCTGTCAACCCCCTTTCCTTTCCTAGGATGAGAAGAACCAGGTACTGACAACCTACATCTGGTACCGGCAGGTGAGTAGACCAGCCCCTCAGCATCCTGCTTTCTGGGATGGGACTTCTCTATTCAGGGAGGACTCAAGGAGTCAGGAATCTCAATGACCATGGTGAGGGACAGTTAGGAGCAGGATCAGGGGCACACTAGACATAGGATCCAGGAGTCTGGACTATTCCCACCTCAGGGCAGGGGAAGTTGAGTGGTGTACATCCCCTGAGCCCTCTCTGGTTTCTCAAATTCTTTGAAGCATCCAGGACAAGTGGTACCCAGACCCCCTCCCCTCTTCCCCCTCCCCCCAGAAGTTCCAACCTGGAAACTCACGAGGCAGTAGCTCCCTTTTGAAGTGAACCATTCTAACTTCTAGAAAAGTCTTTCTTTCATTAAGCCAAATTGGATAACAATCAAATTGAGTGATGGAAGCAGAATGGTTCCATCCATTTAACCCTCATGACTCAGCAGGCATCACCATGTGTCCAGGTTCTGACAGGTCAGACACTGGTGTGCATATCTCAGGCCTTGGCCAAGCTCTGGCCCAGAGTGGTCCAGGAGGGAGGTAAACAGCAGAGGCTGAAACCACAGACAGGTCCTGCTTAGAGGCTCTGAGGACACCACTGGCATATACAGGTCTCAACAGAATCCCTTCCCACCATCATGGTCATGCTCTGCCACCACCAGGAGAGAGGAATGCTGATCCCTGTCAGATGGCTCCGATCCTGTCTCACAGAAGGATCCCTTGATACAGAAAACATCCTGTCTCATGGGAAGATATCCACATAAGAGTAACAGTATGAAGTTCTCTTTCTTGGGATACCCACCCCAAATCCCACCTATAGGCACCCCAGTGAAGCTTTATGCCTTCCCCAGAAGAGGCTGTAGCAGTCAGTGTTGTTATACATACCAAAGAGTGGGAGTTGCAGAGATGGGGGTCTCTCAACTACCACTTGAATCGACACCCAGATTTTCCCCCAGAAGATACTGTCTGGGCATAAATGGTAAAGAATGCCTCACCCGAGATGGGGCTGCCTGAGATGGGTCTCACTTCTCCCACAGTTCTGGACTGACGAGTTTCTCCAGTGGAACCCTGAGGACTTTGACAACATCACCAAGTTTTCCATTCCTACAGACAGCATCTGGGTCCCTGACATTCTCATCAACGAGTTGTGAGCACTGTCATCAGGGAACGGGGCTGGGAGGCTGGGGCTGGAGAAGCGAGGCACAGGGAGCAGAATCCTCCCTGTGGCATTCAAGCTGTCCTGGCCACGACTCAGGCAGTAGGTCACCTTTGCTTGTGCTCTCCTTTCTCAAATTTTCTCCTCTTTTATGAAACTCTTTCTGTACTTGATATTACAGCCTTAGATGTCTCAATCCAAGGGCCTCTGTCATGGGGAGAGAAGACAGTGAATGACCTCACACTGAATTCAAATAGCTTCATGGGGACAGCTGTGTTTTCAGAGGGGACAGTTATGTTTTTGAAAGGAATGGAACAGTTATGGCAGCTAGTGCTCCTGGCCACAGAGGATATTGGGAGCCAAGGAACATGTTCAAACCTCCCAGGCCACACGTGTGCCTAACAGGCCATAATTAGAGCTTCTAATATGAGGCATTTGTTCCCAGCAGCCAAGCAAGGACCCATTGCCTTCAACCAGCTGACTTTCTCCCCGTCCTGCAGGTTCATCCAGGGTCTACCAGTTGGACATCTGAGTTCAAAGGGAAGAGAAACACATGGGAGAAATGCCGATAGAAAGGGGAGGGTAGTCTGGGGATATGGTTCAGTTCGTAGAGTGCTTGCCTTGCATGCATAATGCCCTGGGTTCCATCCCAAGCACCACATAAACCCAAAGTGCTGGCACATGCCTGTAATCCAAGTTCTTGGGAGATGCAGACAGAAGGGTCAGAAGTTCAAGTCATTCTTGACTTCGCAGCAAGTTCAAGACCAGCCTGGACTACATGAGACCTGTCTCAAAAACACAACTGTTCTGCCCAATTTCACTATATTTTCCCAAGGAAGGCCATTGAAGTTGACCCTGATCTTGTGTGCCCTGTAAAGCACAGGCTGCAGGGGTTCTAGAAATTCATTGCTAGAGCTGGAAGATGGCTCAGTGGTTAAGAGTACTGGCTGCTCTTGAAGGGGACCTGGGTTCGGTTCCTAGTACCCACATGGCAGTTAACAACCATCCATAACTCCAGTTTCAGGGGACCTGAGGCCCTCTTCTGACCTCTGTAGCTTTACACCCGTGGGTGCACTTATATATGCAGGTAAAACATTTACATATATAAAATAAATTGCAATAGAAATTCATTATTGCTCTTGGTCTTCACTTCTCATCTTTTTGCCTGACTCCAGAGGATTGAAGGCAAAGACCCTGGGATTGGCCCACCTCACACCTAGGGGCCCAGGGTCGGTCAACAGGATGTGTTGGAATCTTGTTGGATTTGCTCATGATCTATCTGTTTTCTTCCCTCCAGAGATGACTGCTCTCATTTTCAAGGGCTTCTAAGAATGAAAAGCTAAGCAAAATTGGAGTCAGGGTAGAACATAAGATTTTTTTTCTTCCACCAAATCACTGGCTGTCCTGGGAACTCAGCTCTGCTTCCTCTAGGGTGGGGTGGGTGTGACCAGACGGGGCATCTGGGCTACCTGTGGGCTAGGTAGCCACGGGAGCTGAAAGAAATACCCTTTACTGCTTAGACATAGCCTTGACAGTATACTGCAGGCCAGGAAGCTAAGATGGATAACATTGGGAAACTGAGGTCAGACACAATGTTCCAGTTGTCCTGCTGTCCAGACCCTTCTGAATTTCTTTTCCTATTGTACTGCTCAAAGAGATCTTCAGTCTCTCAGCCTGCCTTTTGAGCCCCCCAAACTAACCCCTCTTCTCTGACCAGTGTGGATGTGGGGAAGTCTCCGAGCATTCCGTATGTGTACGTGCAGCATCAGGGCAAGGTCCATAACTACAAGCCCTTGCAGGTAGTGACTGCCTGCAGCCTCGACATCTATAACTTCCCCTTCGATGTACAGAACTGCTCTCTGACCTTCACCAGCTGGCTGCATACCAGTAAGTATGTGGGTTTGGGGACAGAGCAGAGGTTGGGGTCTTTGGGACAGGAGTTCTCTATGATATATTCTCCCTTATTCGAAACACCACTTATTTTTTTCCCTTCTTCCCTTCCTTTATCTTTCCTTCCCTTCTCTTCTATCTCTCCTTTCTCTCTCTCTACCCCCTCTGTCTTCCATTTATGTTTCTTTTATGACTTTTTAAGGTAGTCCAAGTTGGCCTCAAACTTGGCTCTGCAGCCAAGGTTGGCTTTAAACTCCCAATCCTCTTCCCTCCACCTCCTAAGTGATAGGATTTCAGGCATGATACCCCTCCTGGTTCCCTCCCTCCCTCCCTCCCTCCCTCCCTCCTTCCCTCCCTTCCTTTCTGTGCTAGGGATTGAACTCTGGGCATCATACATACTGAGTATGTATACAACCACTGAGCTAAGTCCCATCTCTAGCTTCTCCCCCTCCTCTCCACTCACTTTCGTTTTCTGAGACAGCATCTTACTATGTAGCCCTAAACTTTCCATCTTCCTGCCTCAGCCTTCTGCGTCTTCTGAGTGCTGTGAAATCAGGTGTGTGTGTGTGTGTGTGTGTGTGTGTGTGTGTGTGTGACTGCACTCAGCTGTCACTTATTCTCTCTTCTTTCTCTCTTCCTTCTTTCCTCCCTTCTTTCCTTTCCCTTGTCCTTCCTTCCTTCTTCCTTCCTTCATTCCTTTTTTGTTTGTCGTGTGTGTGTGTGTGTGTGTGTGTGTGTGTGTGTGTTTCTCTGGGGATCAAACCCAAGACCTTGCTTATGCTAGACAAGCCCCCTACCACTGAGCAGTATCTCCTGCCACTTGTCTTCTTAATGTCCATGACCCTCTGTTTCCTCCTTCTCCAGATGGGGCCAACATTGCTGTCTTTACAGTTTCCCCCAGTTATTACAAAGATTAATGAGACATTGTGAATTGGCTTCCAGACACTCAGCAAGGGACAGTCTTATCCAGTATCCCAAACAGGATCTGACAAGAAGTGTCTCTCTGACCTACTCACTCTTCCACACCAGAGTCAAGCCCCCATCTCCTGCCTGGCTGTCATTTTCTTTCTACCTGGTCCCCCTTGCATTCCTGTTCCCCTGTAGTTCATAAGCCACACAGCAGCCACTGAGCTTTTGTTAAAATGCAAATCTGATTGTGTCACTTAAACCCCTCAATGGCTTCCCAGCAGTCCTGGGACCAAATCCAAATTCTTGACCTGGTTCTACCCACAGCACACCATTCCAGCTTCATCTGATATGTGCCAGCCCAGCTGCCTTCCTTTGGAGGCCCAGAGGCTCTGTCTGTCTTCTCTATCACAGACTATTTCCTACCCTTCCTCCCTCTCTATCTCCCCTCATCCACAGTCTGGCCAACCCCTCTACTCACCTGATTGTCCCCAGGTATCAGATCCTAGGGGGACATTCCCTAGTCTCCTAGACTAGCCATCTCATACAATTTTAGAACACCCTTTTCTCACTACCTCTATCATTTGTTAATACCTGTTCAATATCTACTCTCAAAGGCATACCATCAGAGGGTCAAACACATGGTCTCTGGTCCACTAGTAGATTCCCAGCACAATGCCTGGCATGGAGGAAGATGCTTGGTAATTTTTATTGTGTGCATAAATGCTGGATAGAAGACAGAGGGCTAGGGAAGATGCACTGCCCGACTGTAGGAAGGCAGGCTCTCTTCCTATTCTGATTCATTCATTAATTCAACTTTAATTGTGGTGGCCACATATGACTTCCTTGCCCCAAACCAAACTACAGAGAAAACCAAAGTCTCCTTTGACCACTCCCCTCAATCCCAAAGTCTTCTCTAACAACTCCTTACAAGAATTAGCACTGTTATCAGTAGAAACATCATTTAGTCTAGTCACGGCAATCTTCTTGCCTCAGCCTCCCAGTGACAAGGCTTATCACCAGCAGAGCCATGCACTCTACAAAGTAGACACCTGTGCAGGGGGAAGAGACACATTCAGGAGGTGGGAGGCGGGCCAGGGGCTCCCAGGCCTTCCTGTGGGTATGCCTTACCAATGAGAGGAGTGCTGATAACCGTGGCTGAGATTATAGGCATGAACCACCAAGTCTGGGTAGACATTTAGATCTTTTCCAATATTTAATTGGATGTATTCCAATACTGTCATGGATATTCTTGTCTTTCACAGTGTATAGATAGATAGATGATAGATGATAGATAGATATAGAAATAGATAAATGTGAAAGAAAGATGGATAATTGGTAGATGATAGAGATAAATGATAGATGATAGATAGATAGATAGATAAACAGATGATAGATAAATCTGTAGTGTGGTGGAAGTAAGAATTTTTCTAATTCTCCTTGAAAGACAGGTAGTTCTGTGAAGGCAAAAGTAAATAATGTGCTTCATCTATTTCCTAAATGAGTAACTCTAACAAAGAAACACAGAAGACTGCTTTAAAAGGTGTGTGTGTGTGTATGTATGAGAAAGATAGAGACAGAGAGACATAGAGACAGATAGACGCAGAGACAGAGACAGAGAGTTTTCTAGGGAACCCTTCCTCTCATTGTACTGTGCTGTTTCCCTCTGACTTCCTCTGTCCTCACTCCAGACCTGTGAGATGAATAAAATATGCTAGCACCTCACTTTATATATCTGAGGAAACTGAGGCTGAAGTTAAGGGCAGAGGGTTCAGGGATCTGATGTCAAGATTCCTTGGTTATTGTCCTCCCCATGCTCCACCGTCACAGGGCCTCAGGCTCCAAGCACAAAATTCCAAAGCTGGCCTTTCTTCTTCTCTCTCAGTCCAGGACATTAACCTCTCCCTATGGCGCTCACCAGAAGATGTGAAGTTGGACCACAGCGTCTTCATGAACCAGGGCGAGTGGGAGCTGCTGGGGGTGCTGACACAGTTTCAGGAGTTCAGTATGAAAGGCAGCGACTGTTATGCAGAGATGAAGTTCTATGTGAGTGGCCACTGCTGTGGGTGGAATGACCATAAAACTACCAGAACTCCACATCTGGAGTGGAGGAGTTGAGGAAGCAAAGTGGGAGGGACCTCCATAGGCCTCCTGCCAGCTCCAGGGCCACAGGCATCCCCTACAGCAAAGGAAAGCCAGGTGTGGTGGAGCACATCTTTAATCCCAGTACTTGGGAGGCTGAGGCAGGCAGGTCTCTGTGAGTTCAAGGCCAGCCTGGTCTACATAGTAAGTTCCTGGCCACATGGTGCTACAGAGAGCCTCTATCTCAAACAAACAAACAAACAAACAAACAAAAACAAAAACAAAAACAAAAATGAACTATAGCAAAGGAAATGGGGAAACTCAGCTAAATTATCCCATATTTATCCTGAGCAGCAACAAACCTGGAGTTAGAGGCAAGATATGAGCTCTGTCCCTCTTCTCCTTACCTGAGCAATCCAGGCTGGAAAGTCAATGGGGGTTGGTGTCGGGGGGTGTTCCAGGGTCTACCCAGTCATCCCCCAAGCTCCTCTCCTGGTCCTAGGTGGTCATCCGCCGGCGGCCCCTATTCTATGCAGTCAGTCTACTGCTGCCCAGTATCTTTCTCATGGTTGTGGACATCGTGGGCTTCTGCCTGCCCCCGGACAGTGGCGAGAGGGTCTCCTTCAAGATCACGCTCCTCCTAGGCTATTCAGTCTTTCTCATCATCGTGTCTGACACGCTGCCAGCCACAGCAATCGGCACTCCTCTCATTGGTAAGGCATACCCACAGGAAGGCCTGGGAGCCCCTGGCCCGCCTCCCACCTCCTGAATGTGGCTCTTTCCCCTGCACAGGTGTCTACTTTGTAGTGTGCATGGCTCTGCTGGTGATAAGCCTGGCAGAGACCATCTTCATTGTGCGGCTGGTACACAAGCAGGACCTGCAGCGGCCAGTGCCCCTCTGGCTGCAGCGCCTAGTCCTGGAGAGGATCGCCTGGCTGCTTTGCCTAGGGGAACAGCCCATGTTCCGTAGGTCCCCAGGTACCTTCCAAGATACAAAGACTGATGACTACCCAGGTAAGACAAGGTAGAAAGAGACTCACACATGGAATTTGGAGGGTATGGCATGCCAGGGATCCTGGGTAGGACCTGGGATCTGGGTGCAGGATAGAAACAGGAAGTCTTCAGCTAAGAGTCAGTAGACTGGACCTTGCTTGTCTTCACACCTCTCATCAGCCTGGATAGGTGGAGAGGGTAGGAGCTAAGCCTTTGGGATGAGAAAGACTCTGAGGTGGATCCGTAAGTTAGGTTATGTGGAAGCCCAGTAGCTTGTTACTAGCCTCTTGCCTTATGAAGGTAAATACTACTGTTGTGATTTCTAGAACCCTCTCTAAAGAGCTCAACAACCAAATCCCTCAGAATCCTGTGTACTTGGAGCTGGAGAGATAGCTCAGTGAATAAAGTGCTGGCCCCAGAAGCATGAGGACTCAAGTTTGACCTCCAACACCCATATAAAAATGCTAGGCATAGTGCTGGAGAGATAGTTCAGAGGTTAAGAGCACTGGCTGCTCTTGTAGAGGCCCTGGGTTCAATCCTCAGCACCCATAAGGTGGCTAATCACTGTCTGTAACTCCAGTTCTATGCGATCTGACTCCCTCTTCTGACCGCCGTGTGCGTTGCATAGCATGGATGCACCTACCTACATACAAACAATACTCTCGTACACATAAAAGAATAATTTTTTTTTAAATGTCAGGAATAGTTGAACCTGGGTTCAATTTCCAGCACTGGCAAAGTAGATACAGGATGATCCCTGGGGCTTGCTGGTCATTTGGTCTGTTGAATTAGTAAGCTCCAGGTTCAGTGAAAGACCTTGACTCAAAAAATAAAGTGGTGCTGGGCAGGTGTGGAGGCACATGTCTTTAATCTCTGCACTCCAGAGACAGAGGTAGGCAGATCTCTATGAGTTTGAGGTCAGCCTTGTCTACACAGCAAGCTCCAGGCCAGCCAAGGCTACACAGTAAGACCCTGTCTCAAGAACAAGAAAGTGGAGAACAACTGAGGAGGACACCCAGTGTTGACTTCTGGCCTCCACACCCATGCACACACTGGTGCATGCACACTTGAACAGACAAGTGCACACACAGTAACATGCACACACACAAATACATACACACCAAAGAATTTTACATGCTTAGCCCAAATACAGCCTGGTGTGGCGTCACATGTTTTAACCCCAGCATTCAGGAGACAGAGGCAGGAGAATCTTCAAAAGTCTCAGACCAGCAAGAGCTGCATAGCAAGAATCTCTCAAACCACAATTTCAAAGACCTGTGAGGCACAGAGAGAAGTTCAAAGATACTAAACACGGAGCTCAGGCTTCCCGAGAAGCCGTTCTAGCTGCCATGGGGTGGTGATGTTTGATTGGTTTATTCCTTGTGTACTTTGTGTTGGACACAAAGCACTTTCTGTGCTTCCTCGCATGTGACACTCAGCGCCATAGGGCCCTCATTCCCATGTTTTAAAAAGTATTTATTTATTATTTTTATTTTATGTGTATGACTGTATTGCCTATATGTATGTAAGTGCACCTGTGTCGTGAAATGCCCGTGGAGGTCAGAAGAGGGCATTGGATCCTCTGGAACTGGAGTTATGGATGACTGTTAGCTACCATGTGCATGCTGGGAATTGAACCTGGATCTTCTGTGAGAACAGCCAGTGCTCTTAACCACTGAACCATCTCTCCAGCTCCCTCATTCTCATGTTTCAAATAAGAAAAAAGAGGCTTCAAGGTTAAATATCTCACCACACTCACAGAGCCTAGAACAGGAGGAAATGTGATTGTACTAAGGCCCATCTAATTCTAAGGTTGTTTTATTTTGTTTTGTTTTGAGACATAGCCCAAGATGGCCTCCAACTTGCTATGTAGCTGAGGTTAACCTTGAACTGCTGATCCTCCTCCTCTGCATCACAAGTGCTTGGACTATAGAACCACACCCAGCGAAGGTCCTGTGTTTTGTTTTATTTATTTATTATTATTTACTATTTATTTTTTAAAATTTATTTCATTGTCTAACCTAGTTTCAGATTTTCTATGAAGCCAAGAATGACCTTGAACTTCTGATCTTTCTGCCTCTGTCTCCAGAGTGCTTGGATTACAAGCATGTGCCACCATACAGTTTATGTGGTACCACAGCGCAAGCCCAGGGCTTCATGCATGCTAGGCAAGCACTCTACCAGCTAAGCTACCTCCTAAGCCCTGATGGTCATGTCTTTAAGCATTCCTCTCATTCTGTTCTTTCCATCCTTCTATCTGGCTGGACCCAAGTCTTTCACAGCAGATTTCTGGTTCAGCAAAGAACAACTCATCATGAGTTGGCAGACTAGTCCAGCCTAGTACTTGATTTCACCTGGAAGAAGTAACCATCTTTTTATTTTTATTTTATTTTATTTTGTTTTACTTTATTTGTTTATTTTATTTATTTATTTATTTATTTATTTATTTAGAGACAGGGTCTCTCTATATAGTGCTGATTGGCCCGAACTCACTATGTAGATCAGGATGGTTTTAATCTCACAGAGATCCATCTGACTCTGCCTCTGGAGTGCTGGGATTAAAGGCGTGCACCACCACACAAAGCCAGAAGCAGTCATTTTTAAAGATGTAACTCCTAGTCCAGAAGGAGATGGCAGAGGAAGACAGTACTTCTAGCTAGCCATCCCCCGCTGAGGCAATGTGAGGTAGCAGAGAAAGCAAAGGATTGTGGGTCCAGATAATTGGCCTGGGTGGTCTTGGGCATTAAATGACACTCCAGCTTTGTTAATTACCCTCTAAGCTGGTTAATTTTTGTCAACTTGACATAAACTAGAGACTACCTGGGAAGAGGAAACTTCAATTGAGGAATTTCCTTCCATCAGATTGGCCCATGAGCATGTCTATGGGAAAATTTTTGTGATTGTTAGTTGATATAGATGTCCCAGCCACTGTGGGCAGTGCCATCCCTAGGCAGGTAGGCTTGGGCTGTATAATAAAGGTAACTGAGCAAGCCAGGGGAAGCAAACTAGTGAGCAGCATTTCTCCATGGTCACTGCTTCAGTTCCTGCCTCTAGGTTCTTGCCTTGAGCTCCTGCCTTGACTTTCGTCAATGATAGAATGTGAGTTGTAAGATAAATAAGCCCTTTCCTTCCCAAGTTGGTTTTGGTCAGTGTTTTATCACAACAACAGCAATCAAACTAGAACACCCCTCTTAGCTTCAATACCATCAAGGAAAACAGGAAACAATTACTTCTATTTCTACTCTGCCTCTCTTGGGGGCCTGCTGTAAAGATCAAATTAAATAATAGAAGTCAGGTTGCTGAGGAAAGCCCTCAGTATAAAGCATAATAATGATGCCCAGGAAAGATAAACAGCAATTTCATGACAGCAGTGACTTGAATAAAGGTAGAGGATGTGACTGAGGAAGGATACACAGGAATTCTCACTATGCCTTTTGAAATTGCTTAAGTTGCAAGGTGAGTATTCAGATATGCAGGTTACTTGCTCTCCTTTTTATGTCTGAAATTGTTCTTTTTAAAATTTATTTATTTATTTTGGTATTTTTTAGGCAGGGACTCCCTGTAGCTTCAGCTGGCCTGGAATTCACTATGGAGACCAGGCTGGCCTCAATGTTATAGAAACCTGCCTGCCTCTGCCTCCTGAATACTGGGATTAAAGGTGTGAACCACTATGCCCAGCAAAATTTATATTTATTTTATGTGTATGGGTGATTTGACTGCATGCATGTAAACACACCATATGCAGAGTATCACATCCCTTAGAACTGGAGTTATAAACTGGGCATGGTGGTGCACATCTTTAATCCCAGTACTTGGGAGGCAGAGGTAGGCAGATTTTTGTGAGTTCGAGACCAGCCTGGTCTACATAGTGAGTTCCAGGACAGCTGGACCCTGTACCCCTGGAACCCTGGAACCCTGGAACCCTGGAACCCTGGACCCTGGCTAAAAAAAAAAAAAAAGAACTGGAGTTTTAGAGTTTTAGATGTTTGTTAGCTCCTAGGTGGTGGCTGGGAATCAAACCCCGGTCCTCTGCAAGAGCAGCCAGTGCTCTTAACCACTGAACCACTTCTCTAGCCCCTGAAACTGTTCATAATAAAAATTTCTTCCAGCTGCACAAACAAAAGGAACAGTGTCAGGGCCCCTGTCTTCCCACCCACACCCATGCTCTGTTCTTCTTCCAGCTATGGGAAACCACTGCAGCCATGCAGGAGGACCACAAGACTTGGAGAAGACCCTGAGGGGTAGAAGCAGCCCTCCTCCACCCCCGAGGGAGACCTCACTGGCAGTGCGGGGGCTGCTGCAAGAACTGTCTTCCATCCGCCACTTCCTAGAGAAGCGGGACGAAATGCGGGAGGTGGCCCGGGACTGGCTGCGAGTGGGATACGTGTTGGATAGGCTGCTGTTCCGCATCTACCTACTTGCAGTGCTAGCCTACAGTATCACTCTAGTCACACTCTGGTCCATCTGGCATTATTCCTGAGTGACACCGCTCAGCAGGGAGGGGTATGAGGCTGGTTAGGATGGAAGATTTCCACATAGCTTCTTCACCTTGTTTCTGAAGCCAGTTCATCTGAGCAATCCCAAGCCAGTGTCTGAACCTTTGCCCACCCCACCCCCAAACTTAATGCTGAAGGTCCTGTCAGCATCCCCTGCCTCACTCCCAGCTCCCTACCATGGCTTTAAAACATGTTATCTTAGATCAAGAGAAATCCAAGCACCCCCTAACTTTACTCATGTGTGTTGAGTCTGTTTCCCTTTCAGCACTTACCTTAAAACTCTGTTCATTTCCACCAAATCTGTTTTTAGACTGAAGACAAAGGTAACTCCCTGGCAGAGGGGCCTGGTGATTCTGCATTAAGTTTATTCAATCCCCAGTGGCTCCTCCTTCAGCTCACCTGTGGTCATTTTCCTAGCAGTAAGCTTCATCACCTGGGGTGTGTGTGTGTGTGTGTTGGGGGTAGGTGGGTAATAAAATGCAATGATATCTTATACTCAGTCCGTGACTCTTTGTTCACAACTTTGGGAAAAGTTTGGAGGGTGGAAGGAGACATTTAGGGTTACTTCCAGAAATGAAGTTTGTGGATTTGAAGTTTCCTGTAGTTTCAGTTGATTGATGTTTCCTGGACCGGGGAACTAGGAGATGAGATGGTAGGTATCAAAAAGAAACGACAGAGCTGGGTGTGATGGTCACGCCTTTAATCCCAGCACTTGGGAAGCAGAGGCAGGCAGATATCTGTGAGATCAAGGCAGCCTTGTCTACACAGCAAGTTCCAGGCCATCTGGGGCTACAGGGAGACCCTGTCTCAAAAAAAAAAAAAAAAAAAAAAAAACCCCCAAAAAAAAAAAAAAAAAAAAAAAAAAAAAAACATATAAAGAAAAAGGAGGAGGAGGAAGAGGAATAGAAGATGAACTATGGCTTGAAGATCAGAACTGTGACCATTTACCAATGGAAAGGAGAGAGGGAGATTCTCTGTGACCCTCTGGAAAGATGCTGTAGGGGCCCACACGTCAGCACTACTGTTGAGAGTTCATGGTCTTGTATGAAGCAGGGAGCAAGCCGTACCCCTGCAAAGAGTGTGGCACTGGAGACAAGACTTCAGCACCATGGCCAGCGCCCACTGATTTGCTGCTGAGAAAGCAAGGCTTGGGTTGATAGATCATCTCTGGGAACTCTAAGCAGCCAGAGCCTGGTCCATCCACCAGAAAGCAGAAGTCAGAGGGAATTAGTGTTGGAATGATGCTCTTGGATCTTACTTCTCATACTGGCCACTTGTCCTAGACGTCGGAACTTAAGACATGCTAAGGACCGCCCTATCATTCCACCCACTAACAGGCATCTAGAGAAAAGGAACACTCTCCCTTCTTAGTCTCCACAGAGTATAGACAAGATTTACTTTGACTCTCCAGTTTGTTCCAGTCCTTCTCCTCTCCCTATCTGGGACTGCCTGTCACTCAAAGTAAAGCAGGTAGAGGAGGATTCAATGTTGCCAACCAACATGAACAGGACCCCAAAGAAATGTCTGGGGTAGGTTCTAACAGTTCCTTTGCCTCCCCAGCTGTTTCATGCCAGCCAATGACAAAACCCCAAATTCTTCAATGAATTCATAAGCTATCTGGGAGGCTTGGAAGAGAACTGAGCTCTGGGGCCTTGGGTTCTTTGCACCTCAAAGAGCCTATAGGTGGAGGAAGGGGCTCACCCAGTTTATCTTCTCTTAGATGCTTCCCTCCCCAGTATACAGAAAGAGTCCCCCTAGATTCTAACTAGCTGCTGGCTCCCCAAGTGAGCTGGGATTGAGGTCTCATCTGCTACCCTGACCCCAGACATATGGGCTTTTGATATGACTTAGGGACTTCACATTTATTTTTGTTTTGTTGACGTAGGGATTGGGATCTTTTAGCAAACAGGAGAGTGTGGGGCTGGGGACTGGGCTTCATTATACACTTGTCTTTAGCGGAGCAAGATTTGGCAAAAGGTGGAGAAAGTTCTCCTTATTCAGAATAGGCCCTGCAGCTCATCACTTGAGCCTGGTTTTAGAGCCACAGAGCTGCCCCACTGACTCTGTCAGAAGGTTTTCATGTTCTAAGCCACAAGCATAGAAAGGTGGACAGTCGATGCACCACTGACCAGTAAGTGGGTGGCTATTGACAAAGGGTTCAAACAGAGATCTTGTAAGACACTCAGCAGCCTATCGATTCTCCATCTCCCCCTACTCAACCTTCATTTGCAATCAATGGGGCGACAGAGCTCAGCAATGAGGCAGCCAATTAACCACTTCAGGAATGAGCTACTCCATGTAATGTCTTCTGCTCCACTGGTCACATCCAATCAGAGCATTGATCTGGCATCTGGACCATGGGATGGGAAACTGAGGCTCAGTGCAAGAGACCCTCTCCAGTATACTAGTTCTGGCCTATCAGTACTGAGCTTGGGCTATGCCCTAGGAGATCATTGCTCTGTCTGGGGTCATCTCCAGGCACATGCTTCCTCCCTTCATCCCATAACCAAAGCTCAGGCTCAGGGAGTCCCGACAGGCCATACTGGAATACCTGTCTCCAATATGCCAACTAAAGAAATGAGTAAAGTTAGACATGAAGGTTCACATCTGTAATCCCAGAACACAGGGGGTTGATGCAGGAGAACTGCTGCAAGTTCAAGGCCAACCTGGTATACAGAGTGAGCTCCCGGGCCAGCCTGGGCTACAGACTGAGACCCTGTTGAGAGAGAGAGAGAAGTGAGGATGAACTCACTTGGATCTATCCAATGTGGCCACATTTGGATAAGTCAGATAAAAGAATCTAATGAGCCCAAGTTCATGTTTAGGGTAGTCACATGAGCTTTAGGTCTAAATAAAGAAAAAAATAGGCTGAGGGGCAAGAGCTATGCAAAACTAAGCAGTCCTGGTCTACGTGAGGGTCTGCCCACTGTCCGTCATTGTCTCAGCTCTGGTCCTGCCAGGTGGGCCCAAGAAGTCCTCAGCTTGAGGAAACAAGATGATTCTCAGGAGATGGTGGCCCAGAGTGTCGCCTTGGCCCCCATGCATCACTGTCCTCATCTGGGGTGGGGGCATCTGAGGTGGAATTGAGACAAGTGAGAAGGACACTCCTGGAGTGATAAACACAGAGTGATTAACATAGCCACCCACAGAGGAGAGCGGGCCACCCAAAGTAAAGGAGACAGCCCTGAATGAAGGGAGAAAACGAGCCTTCCGTCCTGGTCCTGCTTTCAGTTAGCTTGTGCTGTGAGTGAGGGCCAAGGCTTTTTAGCACACACAGCTTCTAAATGCCTGTTTCAATCTTGCTCCATGGGCCTCTGATTCTGTCCTATACAGAGGGACAGGCTGCGGGTCTGTCAGCCCCATGCCTCTCCTTTGCTTCCTTTTCTCACCTCCCACATGCTCCTGGTTCTTAATGGCCTTTCACCACCCACTTTGCTTCTAAAGCAGTCATCTCTCCTTGAAACGTTCAATCAGAGATGGTAAAAAGTATGGGTCTGCAAAGTCCAAAACTTTGGTGGGTCTGTGGCTGTGGGAGTTTGCCACTGGGTCCCAAGAAAAACGCCGCCTTTGTTCCTGATGCTGGCCTCCTGGGCTCCAGGGTCTCAAGGGCATGCCCAAGAGCGAATACCCAGTTGTTTTGGGAGAGCCCAGGCAGCGAGGCCAAGCTCAGAGGCTAGCAAACAGACTCAGGCCGAGTTCTCTGAGTGAGCACAGAGGAGGGAAAGTTTCCTGGTTGAAGATGAAGGGGGAAGTGCTGCTCAGTGTTCACCAGCCAGATTCTCCACCCTCACCCTCCTCCCCTAGCCACTGAATCAATATGCTTTGAATCTAATCTAATAACAGAGATTTAACGAGGGGATAATGCGCATGGAGCCGCCAGGAGCTTTGTCTCTGCTTTCAAGCGGCAGCTGGGACCCATTATCTGGGGACAATGTCCCATGCTAATCACTCCCCCTGCCTCCCCCATGCATGTTTGGGGGGTGGTGTTGGACAAGAGGGGGCAGCTCCTCCCTCTACTGCATTGAAGGCAGCCGGGACAAAGTCAGAATGGTCCAGCCTAACCCATACAATTGCCTTGGCTAGATACCCATTCCTTGGCCTTCTCACCTGGCCACACTGGGCACCCTGACCTGCAAGAGGTGGAGGGAGCCCCAAAGAGACACAGACCCAGCAGCTAATTAATTATCAGCTGGGACCTGGCTGGGCTTTTTTTTTTGTTTTTTTCATCTTCTAACTTGGTCCTCTATAATTTTAGCTATCTTACTGAGGCCTGTGATTGGCTAGCCCTGAGTGTCATGCTTAGCGAATTTAACCCTGGTTTAGGGGCCAAGAACACTCCACCCTGAAATAGGAGCTAGTGTCTCTCTCTCTCTCTCTCTCTCTCTCTCTCTCTCTCTCTCTCTCTCTCTCCTATCTAGAAGTGTAGAGGTTAGACTGAAGAAGGAACTTCCTGACAAGGCCATTCCTAACATGAGTCTAGAAGGGAAAGGAAAGCATTTCATTTCCCTGAAGACTCAAAGGGAGATCTTTAGCTTACAGAGCTTGAAGAGGGTGGGTATCCAGGGAGCTCTCTCTCTCTCTCTCTCTCTCTCTCTCTCTCTCTCTCTCTCCTATCTAGAAGTGTAGAGGTTAGACTGAAGAAGGAACTTCCTGACAAGGCCATTCCTAACATGAGTCTAGAAGGGAAAGGAAAGCATTTCATTTCCCTGAAGACTCAAAGGGAGATCTTTAGCTTACAGAGCTTGAAGAGGGTGGGTATCCAGGGAGGACAGAGCTGCCTTATTTCGCTATCTCACTGTTTTCGGAAACATTTATTGAGAACAACGTAAATGTCCTGTGTAGTGTGAGACCCAGAGAAGAAAAACCACAGGCCAACTGTGAAACACACTATCGCGAGTGTGCTTGTATTGTCCACCTTCTCATCTGTAAAGTGGGCCTCACCTATTTCCCACCTCATAGATATTGGGGGGAGGGTGTCTTGTTTCCTAAAGAGGAAAAGCCCAGGAACTGTGAGGCTGTGGTAGCAGAGGCACCGAGCAGCACACTTGCCATTCCTGATGGGCTCAGGTCACTTTGGGAAGCAGTGAGAACTGATTCTGGTGAACGGGGTGAAAGGTGAATGGAGGCCTCTGTCCTTATCCCGCTTTAGGGATCGGCAGAGCCAAATGAGCTACACCCACCCTAGGGGGCTAAAGATCCTCCTGCATGTGGCGGACGGCACCTCAGGGTCCTTTTTGTCCTTTACTGTGTCTCACCCCACCCTCAGCTTCTTTGCTTAAAATCGCAGCTTGGAGTTCCTGCTCTGCCACAGAGTGGAGTCTCCATGCAACCCTACTTCCTGTGTCCCTTTGTCCGTAAAAAGCCCTAAAATCGGGATAGAGAGCATAGCATCGTGGATACAGTATCCAGGGCTCCAGGGACCCAGGAACTCAGTTGCCCAGAAATAAAAGTTCAGAAGGAAGTA